CTTTGCGGTGACAGTGCGGAAACAATTGGCAACGATTGCGGAGTCGGTACGTGGATGTGTCCCTTTTACTCCTCGGTGAAGCCATTTTGGACATTGAATACCCAGGCTAATGGGGCGTATACTGCAGGCTGTGAGGAAGGTTGAAGACGACGTTGTACGAATTGCGAAGACAGTGTCGGAACACTATGCAGACGAGGATGGGGAGGTTAAGAATACTTTTGTGAACTTAGCTTTGCAACTGTATGTTATTGATATATATATATATATATATATATATATATATACTTTCTTTCACCTCCGACTTGTGGTTCAAAGCCGGTCCCGACAATTTCTGGGTTGATGATATACTGATGTGTTTCATTTTATTGTTACGACGGAATGCAGCGTGGCCGAGCAACCACTTAAAATCCCCTTCGTCGCTGCGACGGTGCTCACAGCCAACACGATGAAACCGGAATTAGCAGCGGAAGTGCTGAAGAAAGCTGGGCAAATTGCCCAGTCGCATATTGAGGCGGGTGACTGGCGCAATGTCAAGCTCGTCCTGCGGTTTTTAGCCTGCTTGCAGGGCCTATTTGAAGGCGAAGGCATTTTTCCGTTGCTGGAGGAGCTGTTTTCGCGCGCAGTCGATTTACAAACGGGTTCCTCGGAGGATGTAGGTAGTTTCTTTTTTTTCTACCTGTTACGTTTATTTGGCTTTGTTGTCTCCATTCTTATGACTTTGATTGGAGCATTCGTGCTGATTTCTCTGTTTATAGTCCCTGGGCTTGGAACTTGTGAAGATCATCCTTTTCACAATCCCGTATATTATGTCGTCGTCTGCTTCTGGCTTCGAGGCGCATGCTTCGGCCCTCCTTGAGAAAACAGACATTATCGCCTCAACGCCACATACTTTGGAGGCGCTGGTCGACCCCTTCCCTTCGGATGAGGTCAAGGAGGAAAATAGAATGAGCGTCATTGGCCTTCTACAAAAGCAGTTACAAGAAGAAGCAAAGCGAGGCTGGGAGCTTTCATGTATTCCACGTCCCTGGACCGGGCTGATCCCAACGACCAAACCAGCGGCGGCACGCGAAGGTGAAGAAAAAAATGGAGACGAAACAATAGAAGAGAAACCAGAAGCGGAAACAAAACAGGAAGCTGAAGATCCCTTCAAGATTGCAACCAGGCACGGATTCCCGTTAATTGCCGTGCCAAACCCAGTACCCAACGGACCTAAATCTATATTCCCAGACGTCTATTTCTCCGTCTACATTAACCAGGAACTGGAAACTGTCCCGCCCACCACAGACATCGCCGCATCTCTACTCCGCGACAATCTCACCGACACAATCGACATACTCGACTTCAACCGCATCGCCACCGCGAAATTCCTCATTGACGTCGATTGCTATTTCGCACCCAATACTTTCATCAAACGCGCCACCCCCTTCGATAAGATCCGCGACGCTGTCGCAGCGGGTGCCGGTGATCGCTCGACCTGGAAACCCGAGGATGTCGCTGTTGACGCGGTGTTTTCGTTGCTCCTCCAGCTCCCCACGCCGGAGCATAAGCTGGTCTACTACCACTCTGTGCTCACGGAGGCGTGCAAGATTGCGCCTGCGGCTATTGCGCCGAGTTTGGGAAGGTCGATCCGTTTTTTGTATAAGAATATGGAGAGAATGGATCTCGCGCTCTCCTATCGGTTTTTGGATTGGTTTGCGCATCATTTAAGTAATTTTGGGTTTACATGGAAGTGGACAGAATGGTAAAAACAATTTTTTTTCTTACCCTGTTTTTCCCTACAAATATTCACTCCACTTACTAATATTTTTTTATAGGGTTGACGATGTTGAACTACCAGCCGTTCACCCTAAGAAAGCGTTCATCTGCGCTGCATTGGATAAAGAAATTCGTTTAAGCTTTGCGCAGCGCATTAAAGGCACATTACCGGAACCATACCAGGCCTTAATATCTGAAGCGAAAGAGAAAGATACCCCGGATTTCAAATACGCGCTTGAATGTAGGTTTTCTACCTTATGGAACTAGCCCCTCCCCCCCCCCCCCCCAAAATATATATTAGACATTTCTGACAATGCCGCAGCAACTCCCTACGCTGCCGAGGCACAAGAAATCATGCAACTCATCCGCAAAAAAGCCCCGGATGCCGAAATCGAACCGCACATCCTCGCCATCCAAAACGCCGCCGCCAACCAAACAGACACAACGGACCCCCTAATCCCTTCCACAGATGCCTTCGTCACCTCAATCTGCTACGTCGGCTCCAAATCCCTCTCCCATGTCCTCTCCTGCATCGAGCGCAGCAAAGAGCGCCTCCTCTCCATCGGGCCCCAATCACCCGCCGCACGACGCCAAATCATCACCTCAGTCCTCTCCTACTGGGCTGACCAACCAGGCATCGGCGTGAACATCATCGATAAACTGCTCAACTACACCATTCTGACGCCGCTGTCAGTCATCGAGTGGGCGCTTGTCGATCACATTGAGGGCGGCGCGGCGCTGGCGAAGGCGCATGTGTATGAGATGGTTGCGGCGACGATGGGGAAGGTGACTAACCGGATTCGCCAGATTGTGGTGGCGAGGGTGCAGCGGGGTATTGTGGAGCCGCAGCTGTCTGTTATTGACGAGACGCTGCGGAGAGAGAGGGGGGAGGTGCAGGTTATGTTCGAGGTTATTGAGGGGGCGCTTGAGGGAGTTATTAGCGGGAGTGGGATGGAGGATGTTGGTGGGGTGTTGGTGGGGGAGGGGGAGAAGGTGATTATTAGAGAATGGGCGCAGAGGTGGTTGAGAGTTTTTAAGAGGCTGAGGGCTGTTGAGGAGATGTTTGTTTCAGAGGCGATGGCCCGGACTGTTCCTGTTGGGACAATGCCGTTGGTGCCACAGCATGCACAAGTCGAGGTCGGGGCGGAGCCGGCGGCAGAAGTCGCGATGGATAATGTTGACATGATTGATATATGAGCGGGTGAGTGTTTTATTAATTTCTCTTTTGATTAAGGAGAGGATGGGGGATGTAAGAAACATTTACTTTCAATTTTTGTTCTTGTTTTTATTACTTTCTTCCTAAAGTTTGTATGGGTATTTAGTATAATTGAATCTGTTAGGTTCTGTATAACTATAACTTCTTTACTAACCGCAGTAAAAATAAACATCTTTTGTTGATTTTGATGCTTTTTTCGTTTTAGCATACATATTTGGCCCTTTTGCACACCATCAACCATTATTTGTCCCTTGACTTTCCTCCCTTATTCGTCATTCGATTTTAAATTCATGTCCAACCTGGCATGCATGGATGCTGTTTCAGATAAGGACAGAAAAAGGAGAAAAAATATCTGAACAAACCCAAATTTTCGTCTTCTTGAGTTTTGACTCCAAAACGATGTCCATACAGGTCATCCATCTCGCTGGGACTGAAACTTGGATCCTTTGCAGTGAACTCGGGGAGCCCTGAAGGGCAAGCAGGCAGGTAAGCGGACGGGTAGCTGTATGAAGTGGGTGTTCAGTCCACAGCCAATTCATCCACCACCGTATCATTATGGTGATGTCTTCCACGCAATCAACAGAGGATCATGCTGCCTGCGCCAATCGGCAATGGAGTGAGTAGTAAGGGCCTGCACTGTTCGCTCAATCGGAATCAGCCATACAACTAAGACCGGTGAAGGATCGAAATCATCACCAAGTGTCAGAAGCCATGATGTGATAAAATCCTTCCAAGGGTTGGATCGCTTTTAAAGGTTATTTATTGTGCATGTGGAGAAACAAGACTCTGTGGATGACCCTTTCTCGTGGTGGCAGTTCTAATTGCTGGTCTGCCAGTTGCCCCGAGTCTGGATCATGGCAGCATCCCTATCCTGAAAGCGTTTCGGGAGGACCCGACTGCGTGCGTGAGGTAGGTTGGAGATTGGCCAGCGACATCTTGCGTGCACTGAAGATCTGGGTGTCTTCCAGCATCATAGCAAATGGCTATTACCTCTGGTGCGAATGGGTGATTTCTGCCAGAGGAAATTAACCAATCCCTTGGGGGAGTCGAAAAACTGCCATTGTTGGGATTCCTAGGATAGCACCCTTCAAGGATTGGGCCTTCTGAACACCACTGCGCAATCACTCATCAGGCTTATCGGAGATTCCCACGATGATAGTAAGAACGTTCATTAGCTACAGACAATAACAACAACATTCATTTCATTCAACTATCTAGCTAACTATTATGCGCAGACTTTCTTCAATCCTCGCGCTCTTCTCCTTCTCCAGAATCTCTTCAAAATCGTACCCAAGATTTCAGAGTTGTTCACAACGTCGCGACTAACCTCCTTGCAAAAGTTGCTATCATTCACAGCAGGTGGGAGGATCTTAGAAAAAGCTCTCAGTTACTTAAGTGAGTACTTCAGTGTTTCCAATCTTGCGACTGCAAGGCTGGTATGAGAGCCGGGTGGCTCTATCGCAGCTCTTCAACACTTCTCCGTGCAGGCAGAGAGGATGCGCGCGGTTCCAAGGTCAAGGGTGGGCATGTCCAGGAGGATGAATCCAAGCAGACCATCAGCCATCGTTCCACATCTTTTGTGTAATTATGAGACTTATCTGTACGGATAGAGAACCAATCAGGCCATTCGTTGCAGCATCGAGTAGTGCTCGCGCCGGAGCATATCCCGGGATTGAGGTTACGCATAGTAGAAGAGCAAGGAGAGTTTTTGCGGTGGGTCCTCCGCTGACGTCACTCCATTTTTGCTATGCCCTTCGCATGATCGTTAGTTGACAAGCTACTATTCATATCTTCGAAGCTTCACAGAGGTCCACTGAACTTGGCTTCGCCGGAATCTAGAACTATATGATCTGAAACCAAATGAAGCAAAAGGATCCCGTGATTTTCTCAGCAGCTTGTGTCCAGTTAACAGCAATTAACTCCCAAAGTGCTGGTCATCTAATCAAAACATAGATAATTAACTCTTGATCATAAAACAGTTATTTGAAAAGGAGAATGCCACCACAAATAGGGATCAGGTGCCCTATTTGTACTCCAGGGGGAGCGGAGCCTCGCCAGTAGGACTTGGAAGCTTGGGCCGATGCTTGGAAGCTAAGTTTAGTCGAGGTCAAAGACAAGGGGAAAAAGAGGCCGATGTGAGAGACGACAGTAAAACACAATGTTTGTTCCACTTAGTTTCCACGTTCGGGAAAAAGTCTGCCATTCACTTCGTACCTGCGAATGGCTTTGGAGAAAGCTACAAACTCTTTCAATGCCCGGACATGAATAGCAGATGATCGTTCGCCTGAGTTGACAATCAACACGAGATGAAGCAGATCCGCCAGCTCCTTCAGTATATCCATCTTTTGCAACTCATTCTCCAGAACAGAAATCTGCTCCAATGTCAGTGCAGGATCATCAATCGGAGCTTTTGCCATGTTGAATTCACATTGGTGGACGTCATTCTCAAGAGAAGAACAGTCCAACTGGGGAAAAGCTGCATGAGTTTCGCGATGCACCATGACTCACAAATCAATGGTATTGGGCAACCCCAAGCACCCAAAATCCCTGGCTTCATCCAGCAAAGTAACATTGCAGAGAGTGCTCAGACTTGTTTGGGTGCAGGGCCTGCCTATATTATGGATCATATAAATCTCCAAGAACATTAACATGAAGTATTGGTACTATTATGTTACTTAAATATAAGTTATTTTTGAAATTTACCCTTGCCAGACTTCAGAGGCGCGCATTGTGTATGGCTGTGCTGTGAAACGAGAGCCGTCATGAAATACCGTCAGCAGCATATGTATGTTTCTGGGCAATCACAGCTAACTCACCGAATCCCAAGTCCCTCACTTTAATAGTAATATCATTAGTCTCAGTGCCGGAGAGCAATTTGTTGTTGCTGGGCTTGTAATCTAAGCTGGTTTAGCGGACGCCATTCAAGATCGGGTAATCTACCTGTATTGACAAGTTCTCTCTCAGCCAGGCTGGTGCAGCTTCTCAACACTGTCTTTATTATGGCCTCGGATTGTGGCATAGGTACGCATGCAAGGCTTGTATTGCACATCCGCCAGAGTGGTCTCGAGCCCCTCGAAAGCAATATACGATATGCTTCCACCATCACCATTGCTGATATTCACAGGATCACCAATCACGTCGTACATCTTCCGGAAGCACACGTCCGATGCGATGCTGGAAACAAAGTAGTTCTCATATTCACACTTCAGGTTCTCTTTAGCATGTTGATCATTTGGCGCAGCTGCTTTGATGAAAGGCCTGGTTGGAAGGGTTAACTTTGTTGTTCACAAAGCTTGAAAACAACATAGCGAGCCATTGAGGAGTATCTAAGACCCCATTTTCCAGTAAGACCTCAGCTTTGAAAGCCAAGGATTTGTGTGTGCTATCTCCCTGAAGAGGATCAATGACACGATAGTTCCATTTGGCTCCCATGAGGACCTGTCTGGAGGCGGGGGACTGCATGTTTCTAATGAAGAGACATCGATCGAACGGCCCTACTCCTGCAACAAGAGCCAACCAAACGACGAAGACGAGATATGTGCTTCAAAGGCGAATGATAGATGGCAAGATATGGATGTGAGGATCAAGGCACTGAATCATTTGGCCTCACTAACATCAGTAGTTTCTCACGTCAGTTGGTTGGATGACCTTCCATACAGGAAAATCGGTGGTTTTCAGAACGATAGAAGAGTATGTAGAACCTTTGGAGGATGGCTTCCTTGATAATATATAGCTTCAAGTTACCTTGCCGGGATGGTTGATCGTGGAACGGTTGAATCTTGTACGGAGATGTTTGCAAAAAAAGTCGTTGCACAGGCCAGAAATTTAAGCGGGTTCTAGTTGACCGTGGTTAGAAATGGAAAATCATATTTTCTCACCACAACAAGTGCTGAGTGTCAAGAAGATCATTAGAACTTGATATAGAGTTTGGCTTCTTTTCTATCTTTTTGGCATCTTGTGACCCCATGACATTGTAATTATATTTTTTTTCTGTAGATATAGAGATACCCTAATCATTGCCAGTCGTTTAGAAGAATATCTATCTGGTTGTTAGGCTCTACTGAGGAGTGTTGCTGATAAGCATTGGTTACAAGGTGTTGAGCATGAGTTGGGTTGATCCCACGTTCGACTTGGTGCCGACTTGCCCTGCAGACCCAATGGTCTTTCACGTTTCAACTTACGCGGGTGATCAATGATCCAGGAATGATTTTTTGAAAATTAGAAATATATACAGCCCATTATGCATATATCTCACTTCTGCTTTTCTATTATCACAACAATTCCTTGCGTGTTGAGATATGATGATCCAAATCTCTGTGATGGAGGCCACCGGGGTGCCAAAAGACGAACCAATCGACAACCCTTTCTGTTAGTGGCACACTAACATTATAGTGCCCTACTAGTTAACCAAAATACTGGGTTATACCCGCGTAAACCAACAACAACCCTTGGCCAATACTCGTCGTCACGAACTCTCTCACTGGATTGGTCTTGGGTTAACCTTAGGAGATTAGGTTAAGTTCAGTTTAGACCGCTAGTCAGATGGATGGAGCCTGAGAACCTTGCGTAGAAGCGGTAAAACCCACCAAATGATGACTAATGGTTGTGCAGCAGCAGTGGGGAAGGAGAAGAAATCACCCACCTCCTCAACGAGAGATATCGTCTCCGCCATCGTCGCCCAAAAGGGCCTCGCGGGGTGTAGTTATGGTTTTTTTTTTTTTTTTTTTTGATGGAACCAGCCGAACCCGTGAAACCTGCAGTGGTTCTATAATTTGGCACGGATTACGCGCTTAGATAGTTGCATATAATCAATCACTCAATCATTCACGCTAGATTTTAGTATGCTTCGTTACTCAGTTAATCGCTCAATTGACTATTTTGTGGTTACTTTGCAATGAAATGGCGCACAGTGTATCAGCCATGACAGTTATTAACTATTGTATCTTGAGAATCGTTATTATATAGTAATTTGTACAGAATACACTCTACATAATACAGAACTTCGTCTGGATCCTGCTGCTCCAGGAGAAAACATCTCTCGATGGATCGCCCGCACGTTCCCCCGCCGCCAAGCTGGGCCGCCTCCTTGTTAGTCTCCAAGGGCTGCTTGTCGCGATTCCTAGTTGGGCGATGGCGTTGTTTCGTCTTCCCCTTTTCCATTTTTCCCTTACTCCTGTTTTCAAAGTGGACCTGGAAAATGACCTTGGCAATGATCCCACACAGCAGAATGCGTCTTTGAAAATGGGATATTTAACGATAGATGCAACAGCTCCTTATCTTCCTCTGTGTTTTTTTTTCCAATGGCAGACCTCTGTTTGAAGCAGCCTGGATACGGGACGGTACCGGATTTGTGAAAGATTGATAACGAAAGCCCGCACATGATTGGCCAACCTTTCCTAAATTTGATCTGACTGTCCCCTTTCGGTAATCCAAACTCCCGACTCGCATGACTCTGGGATTTCCTGGGTAAAAAAAAAATACATCACGCACCCTCACACCCTACGTTCGCTCTTTTCCATCTTTCAGTCATCCATCATTGCTGATGTATTATCCTTGAGTTGCGGAGAATCAGTTTTTCTCCAACTAACCACATAGCTTCGTCTATGCTAGTGGACGCTTACTGGGCTTGTCCATAAAAAGTCTCCTTGCCCGTTCCTTTTGCAACATCCCGTCTTCAGCCCGCAGAGTTTCCCCATTGATTAGCCTCGCAGAGGCCTGCATCTTGTTACTACCAACCGAGATTCAACGTGATTCCGGATTCTAATACCCCGGCCATGGATGTCATTCTCGAGGTCTTCGATACTCTAATTTTCGATTACTTCTACGCCAAATTGTCTTCAGCAAAAGATGCTTCCGCCATCTCCTCTCGCTTCAACAATAGCCTCAATGAAACCAAATATGACTTTGTTGGTGCTGGCGGATACGTATATCAACCGACAACAACTTATTTCAAGCTGCAACCGTCGATATACGCATATACATCGTCACTTCCTAGAGATTATATCTGGAGACAGCTATTCACCCTATATATCATCACCTGGTATGACATGTGTCTTTTCTTTTGTTCTTTTCTATTTCTGTTATTTCTGTTGAGTGATTAATTGAAAACCCAGGGTTTTCGGACTCCTCGTCTACTTCATCTTTGCCACCATCTCCTACGTCTTCGTCTTCGACAAATCAACCTTCAATCACCCCAAATACCTCAAAAACCAAATCCGCATGGAAATTAAACAGACTTCAATCGCCCTCCCAATCATGGCCATCTTCACAGCTCCCGTCTTCCTCCTCGAGGTCCGCGGATATGCAAAAATGTACGACAACTTCGAAGACGCTCCCTTTCCGCTCTACAACTACCTCCAATTCCCTTTCTTCATCATCTTCACCGACTTCTTCATCTACTGGATCCACCGCGGCCTTCACCACCCCCTCATCTATAAGCACCTGCATAAGCCCCACCACAAATGGATTATGCCAAGCCCTTACGCCTCCCATGCCTTCCACCCCGTCGACGGCTACGCTCAGAGTATCCCCTACCACGTTTTCCCCTTCTTCTTCCCCCTGCAGAAATTTGCCTATGTCTTCTTTTTTGTCTTCATCAACATCTGGGACTGTCCTGATTCATGACGGCGAATACGTCGCGAACTCCCCCATCATCAACGGTGCCGCCTGTCATACTATGCACCACCTCTATTTCAACTTCAACTACGGCCAGTTCACTACTATCTGGGATCGTCTGGGTGGCAGCTATCGGAAACCGAATATTGAACTTTTCCACAAAGAGACAAAGATGGCAAAGGAGGAGTGGGAGCGACAGGTTAAGGAGATGGAATCGCGCGTTCAGGCGGTCGAAGGCAAGGATGACCGGACATATGTGACGGATGTGGATGCGGATGTGAAGGAGTCGAAGAAGATGCTATAAGATCCTGGAGGTATTAGGACATATGCACCAACACCTTTCATGAATGATACATGAAAAACTATAGTTTCTCTTTCTTTTTCTTTTTCTTTTTCTTACTCTTTTTAATTTTTTGGTTTTTGCTAGTTATCATCTTCCTGTTGTTTGTTTTACTGTTCGCTGACAAGCAATTTTTTTTAAAAAAAAAAAAAAAAAATTAATATTAACAATAATTCTGGGCTTGGGGAGGTGTAGAGATACCCTTTTTTTACTTTATCTTTTTAATTCACACTCTCATCCCCTTTTGTTTCTATTTTCATTTTTCATGTTTGTATCTGTTTTCTGTGCATCATTAGGAGGGTAATAAATCATGCCCACACGCTATATATATATGCATGTACATTTTGTATATACTATCTCATTATCATTATATTATATCAAATTTGTATGTTGGAATAGTTAAATAAGCTGAAATTAGTAAAAAAAGGTTAAAATCAGATCTTGTTTAGTAAAAGAAGTGATGAGTGAGTGAGATTTGACCTGGTTGTGAAGGTTTTTGATTCATACTTGAATCAAGGTAAATTTATTGTTATTTGTGTTGAGGGGGGATTAGTTTATTAGACAAAATGAAGCGAAGCAAAGAATCAAGTGACGGTTTGAGGGGGGAGAATTTGCTGAAAAGTTGCTTTATTTGTAGCTTGAAATGACTTGAATCTCAATTGATGCGGTGGAGTTCCTTCGAATCTCAACGATTTTATTGATGTAGAGGAGATTTCTGTATCTCAATGATCTTCAATATCTTTATACTGTGAAGGTCAAATAAAGTTTATTCAATAACTACTAATCGTGCCGCGCGCACCCACACCTGATGTGGGTGCGCCACACCGTAATGATAAAAACAGCATAACGATAAAAATATCAACTTCTTCATTAATCAATGTTCAAATATTAATATATCATCACCACCATGACCAATAAGATAGATGATATTGAAAAATGTATTCAGAATGTCATTGAAGTCTATAATGACAATCAAAAACAAAAAATCCTACCTCTGATGTGCAAATTCAACATTCCTTGTCAACATTTTTGAATAAGAATCAATGGAAGGAAAACATGCAATGCAAAGATTGCACTGAATAAGAAGCTTAGCAAGAATCAGAAGAATGTGTTGAAAGAATGAATAATTTATATGAACAAAAATAATTACTCATTGACTGCAGAGCAGATTCAAGATAATATGAATCTCATTTTCAAATATTATCATACTGATTCTTCAATCTTTTCATCTGTGGTCAGCAAGATATGGACCTATCAATATATAGAGAACTTGAATGAATATAAAAGAGTGAAACAGAAGACAATGAATCTGAAAAGAATTGCTGTAAAGAATATTAATTATATCAAAATGTGATTTGATCATTTGAAAATTTTACTTCAAAAGTATGTATTTCAAATCTATGATATTTACAACTTTGATGAGATTGGCTTTTAAAAAAGTTAAAAATGCAGAGAGTGAGTTATTACTGTTTTAAAAAATTTAAATTCAATTATAACTTCATTATATTCTCAAGGATTGATCACTGTGATTGAGTGTATTCCAGCAAATGATAAGGTATTGAATCTTTTCATCATCATAAATGTAATGCACTCGTTTATTATTTCCTTATTATTATATTATCTTTGTTTATATCTTCGTCTATTCTTACCTCTTTCCATTATACTCTCGCTACCACTATTTCTGTATGTATATATATATGGATGCATGTATTTCGCACATCTTCTTTCTTTTTCTTTTCCTCTTCAGCGACTAGCTAGAACTACAATTACAACTTCAACTATACTACTACTATAATTATTATTATCTTCCACTACACTATATACTATCTTCTACTATTCACTCTTCACACTGTCATCACCCCTCACAATAAAATTCAAAACCCATTTTAAAGATTGATATACACAAAGCAATCTACTGAGTGGATATACAATCACAATGTCAGATACTGACTATATCAATGATGAGGTTGACTTTGCTTGAATTCAGTATTTTAATAAAGTTATTAAAAAATGTCAACAAAGCAGTCATTAATTGCTGTTTCTTGACAATTATGAATCTCATTTCATTGAAGAATTTTTGTAATACTGCAATCTTCACAAGATTATTTTATATGAATTTTCTTCACATTCAACTCATATACTACAACTGCTAGATGAGGTGCTATTTCAGCAATATAAACACTATCATTCAAAAACAGTTAATCAAACTGCTTGATATGAATATGAGCAATATGAAAAACATTAATTTTTACAGAATTTAATTGATGTTTGTAAAAAAAATTTTCAACTCTTCATTATTCAAATCAATTTCATGAATCATAACATCATTCTTTTCAATCTGTAATTTATATTTGATAAATTAAATTTTAAAATCTCTGATTGTTCTGAACTGTGAATATATGAAGAAAATGACTTTTTTTCTTTTCAATCAAGTTGTTCAATTACTGATTTCTCACAACTATTCTCTCTGAAGACAATTGAGAAGCTACAATATTATATTTGAATAATAAAAAAGATAATGTAAGATATAAAGAATATACTCAATTTCAAATCACCTCATCTGAGCAATTGATTGCACGAGATTTTCCAAGGCAGTCTCATACAAATGAAACTCAATGCTATAAAAGAATGTGAAATTAAAAGTTATTATCTTGCAGTCAAATACTGTAGCATCAAAAATACACATCAGCAGGTTTAAATAGAAGGTATACTTATTGTAAAAGATGCAAATAGAAAGATTGCACAATGTAAAAAGAAAGAAGCTGAAAAACAATGTTATAAGAGAGTCAAGCATGTTGGGAAAGATTTGAAGAAAAATGCCACAGAACCAACCCAACAAGAGGTTAATGATATATATGAACATCTAGCAAATAATACTGCTACTACAGATGATATAGATAAATTAATTATCATAGATTAGCTACACAGTGTTGAGATATTGATTTTTGAAGTTCATATTATTCATATTTTTATCGTTACGCTGTTTTTATCGTTACGGGTGTGGCGCACCCACATCAGGTGTGGGTGCGCGCGGCACGATTAGTTCACAATTCGCTTAGAGGTCCTCTAAATCTATCTACCAACCTATCTATTCTGTACATTATATATCTACAAACCTACCTATCTGCTCAATATTTAATTGATTACTGGTGGAATAGAGGATGCTAGCTAGCTAGATATCCGATTAATCTCGACAAGATTAAATACCATTATCTAACTGCCCATCTACATACCAACCTACCTATCTACTTGCTCGATATTTGATAAATCTCTATTAGAATAGATATTGCTAGCTATCTAGCTGCCTACCTGCCTACCTGCCTACCTGCTCGAATGGATGATATCCGCCGATGATATCTAGCAATCTTATTCATTGGTGATGTCTGTGATCTTGCAATAGAAAGACCATGGCTTTTCTAGCAGTATATCCGTCCTGGCCCCAGCGACATGTTCCGTGGAGCTCCTGCTATATGCACATATCTAATGACTATTTAACGGTGTGTTTGCCCCTAGTAACTAAGAAATGAAGACAAGAACAGGATTCAGTCAGAACTTAATTTTTTATCATAGATAGTGAAATATGACTAGAATTATGATGTAAACAGTCTACCAGGGTGTTGGCATCCCTATCGCTCGCGAGAAGGCTCAAACAACGTGTAACTGGCCTGGATATTATATACAAATTTTTGCATTGTTATCCCGTCAAACCACATTCCCACTCTCATTCCTTCATTAAAATTATCCCTTTATCCCCCGACTTCTTCAACTATCATCATCATCTTCGTCTATCTTCTTGCTCTATCCTCCCTGAAAAAAACCATTCCACAATATCCTGCTTTTAAAGCCAAAAAAAAAAAAAAAGCATGCAAAACGATTGTTCCTTCCCCATCCGCTTCTGGGTAGTCTTAGTCGATTCTTTTCAAAGGATTTGCGGCAAACCTCATAGATATAGGGCATGGTAGGCCCTTGGCAGTTGATAGGATGATAATATTGAATGGAGAGAGGATCAATCGTGTACGTTAAATGAAGGATGGTGGTGAGGATGATCGATCGCGTTTGATGGATGGCTTCCATTGATATTTGAGGTAGACGCGCCTTCAACTAGGATAGAAGACACAGTAAAGAGAGGCAGCAAGTCTACCAGGGGCATTGCATGCATCATGATTGCAAAAACAACTTAAAAGGAAACAGCTGGCCTCTTCAATCTGCTCCAAAACCAACAATAATCATCACCACTATCATAGGGAACACAGAATCAACCACCAGATTAAAAAAAACCTTTAAACATTTGATGGCTCTGAAGCACCAAAGGGCCCATAACCTAATGGATAGGGATGCCAACCCGCGTATTCTGTTTTGTGCTATAAACCTGTGACAGGTTGAGTGTTTGAAATTTAATTCTTGAAGCAGTTAATTCCGACATTGGTAACGTAACACAATAGAAATGATGTTGATATTCTACACTTTTACCGTACCTTTAAGTCTATACCTCGCTGGTGGGTGCTGCTTTTCACCACAGGTGTTGCGCAGCAGGCGCCCGCTGTCTTACGTGTTTTGGCATGTTTTATGGCCTAAGTGGTTAGCGGTGTTGCCTGCCCAGCCAGTGCTGGTCATGATAGGACAGTCTTTGGAACTGCCAAAATGCATATAGCAAGTGTGTTATATATCGTTGGCAATCTTCCAAACAATTGAGGTGAGGTTCGGCATCAAGGTCCCATACCCATAATCAAGGTTATGGTGTGAGAACTGATTCGGTCGAACTCCAGTATTGAGATTTTCATTTCAATTTCTTCCACAATATTCACAGTTATTTTGTCTGCGAGTCCATGGGCATGTTGGGGAAGTGGCTGTAATTACCAATCGAAGACTGACTTGACCTCTTCCTCTCATACTCAGCTGCTGGGTTTTTGTTCATGCCGCAATCCACCTTGCCTCAACCATGCACAGACTTTCCGCGAGATAGATATGGTTTGCATTATTCCGAGCGATGGGATCGGACTTCTACGGATCTCCATCTAGTTTGGTTTTCAAAAACAATGATAAGAAAACAATGAAGTTGCATGAAATGAAGTGATGCATGTATTAGTAGTATGTAATAAATACACGGTGCAAGCCTCAGCTTCGGGAAAGGGATAATAAATTAATACTGGCGCATATTTACACTGCGTGCAGGTACAGTACATGTACATGTACAGGTACAGGTATGGAAAAAGTAAAAACAAGCCTCAAAAAAAAAAAAAAAAACCCTAGTCTGGAAATCTTCCATTTTATTCTAGCTTTCGCTTGGGTACAGATTATCCACCAAACCTGAATATTGACAACCTACCTTTCAAAGGCCTCTTGCCCAAAGCTTACCGCGGGATAGCCCAAGGAAGTGCCAAAGGGAGGGCCCAAGGAACAGCCCATGGAAATACAACGCACTTCGAGTCTGAAACTGGAGTCCCTGTTGGTGTTGTCGTAGTATCACCATGCCAGTTGTACTGTAGGTTCGTTCGCTATATGGTTTGTGCTCTTCCTTGGAATTGCCTTGCTCCTTTCCCAGGGTTCCATCAGCCGAAGCACGGATCACGGGCACGGCAATCTGCCAGGAATCATCAATACTATCTGCCAACTTCCCCTCTCCTCTCCCCTTCTTCTATCTGCCGTCGCAACCAGTTTATTAGTTTGTTTCCGCATTTATCCTTGTTTGTATCTTTCCTACAACTTTGCGCGATAGCCAAGAGCCGTCCCACTTCGCTTCTGGCGTCAAATCTCAGCCTCATTCTAGATTCGGTAACTAGCGGCGCTTGTCTCCTCCCCAGCCAACGCAAACAAACCTCAACTTACCTCCTCATCCTCAGATTCCATCCTCATCAACATCATCAACATCAACGCACATCTCATCATCACACTCATCTATAGTTGCGATCTACCTATACGATTGCAGCCCAGATGCACTGACTTTATCAATCCTCCTGCCACATAGCTCACCCTCAAATCCTGCTAAACCCATCGCTGCAATCACCATTACGAGGTCCAACCCAACCGGCGTCATCGCATCCCTCCAAATACAACCCCTTCCGTCTAAGCATATTTTAAAACCAGAAGGGAAAGGGTAACCTAAATTACATACGGCCAACCACGCCCCTTGAAGGCTTGAGCGCCGTCCATCACCACAAAAACCCGCCGAAGACAAAAAAGAAAAGATCACCAAGCGAAACCATGTACAACGCACATCGTGGCATGGTTGGCGGTCCTAACTCTCGTTTAACAGAGTTACTGGACCAGCTACGACAGGAATATGAGAACCAATCGCGGAGTACTGGGGAATTCGAGCATCAATGTGTGTAGATTCGTTCGATTTTTCCTCCTTTCTTTTGCCTCCCCGCTCTCAATGCTGTCTCAAAACCAAAATTTTGTCAGAGAGCATTTCCATAAACAATTAGCATGCCATGCATTCTACTCTCTTGATTTCTGCTAGTATTTGTTTCTCTTTTCGCAAGATGCCATGTCTTTAGCTAACGGGGATCGGTTTGACAGTGACTGGACAGCTCCAGGAGATGGAAATGATCAGGCAAAAGGTTTACCAGTTGGAACAAGCGCAGATAAAAATGAAACAAGAGTATGCTTTTAATGCTCATTTATATATTCTCTTCCACGGAGAAATCAACCGATTGTTTATTGCTCCTTCGTTCGCATACTTACTTCGCAGCAGATATGAGGCTGAAATACGCACCTTGCGAAGAGAACTTGAATCTCGCGGCGTCCATCTTCCTCAATCCCATATTGGGGGCCTACCAACACATGCCGGGCCTTCCCAAGCGCCCCCTCCAGCTCTTGGCCATGGCCCTGCGAACCTATTCGGTGGCATCATGGCCAACCCGGGAGGCGGAGCTCCTGCGCTTGCGCCACCTCCTCCGCCAGACCAACAGCCACCCCAGCACGCGCTTCAACAACCCGGGTCCGGTGCCCAAGTGGCCCCTCAACCACAGCAAGGTGCGTTTGGAGGATATCAGCCCACCTCGGCGGTCAATGGTATGCTCCAATCCCAATCACCGCCGCTCAACCACAAAAAGACAATCATCGCAGCGGAAAAAGCATTTCTAATGAATTACTCTCAGCAGGATATGGTCCTCCACCTCCCACGACTTCTCCAGGCGCTGGAAAAGGCAGAGCCAATCGCGCACCCGGCCCCGCAACCCCTCAGCAGAATCACCAGGTTGCTTACCCTGATCCACGCGCATCACCTCAGATCCACCGTCCCACACCCCCTGGCCAGCAATTGAGTTATCGCGTTGGAAATACATTGGCGGATTTAGACCCTGACAAGCTTCCCCCGAGCCAAAAGCGAGAAGGTTCCGACTGGTACGCCGTTTTCAACCCTGAAGTGCCTCGCGTCCTGGATGTCGACCTTGTCCATCACCTCGTTCACGATAGCGTTGTTTGCTGTGTAAGATTTAGCAATGACGGCAAATATGTTGCTACTGGTTGCAACCGCTCTGCGCAGATATTTGATGTTGCGACTGGACAGCTGGTAACTGCTTTGCAGGATGATAGTGTGCTTGATAAAGAAGGAGACCTCTATATTCGCAGCGTCTGCTTCAGTCCTGATGGCAGATATCTGGCTACCGGCGCAGAGGACAAACAAATCAGAGTATGAACCTTTTCCCCATCGTACATCGATTTTCTCTCACTGCGACAGTTAACTAATCGTATATATTAAAGGTATGGGATATTGCTACCCGAACCATCAAACACATCTTCTCCGGTCACGAACAAGACATCTACTCCCTCGACTTCGCCCGCAATGGACGCTACATCGCGTCCGGCTCGGGTGACAAAACCGTTCGCCTCTGGGATATCGTCGATGGCAAACAAGAGCTCATTCTCAGCATTGAAGACGGTGTTACCACTGTCGCAATCTCACCTGACGGGCGCTTCGTTGCTGCCGGGTCTCTGGATAAGAGCGTTCGGGTCTGGGATACGACGACTGGATACCTTGTCGAACGCTTAGAAAACCCAGATGGCCACATGGATAGCGTTTACTCCGTTGCCTTTGCGCCCAATGGCAGAGATCTAGTCTCCGGTAGTTTGGATAAGACTATTAAGATGTGGGAGTTGACGCCACCGAGGGGTATGGTACCCGGTGCGGGACCCAAGGGCGGAAAGTGTGTTCGAACGTTTGAGGGTCATAAGGTACATTCGAGGAGACGGGCTTTCACTAATTAATTTATGACAATGTCAAACTGTTGCAAATAAACTAACGTGCTTGTCTCTTTTTTTAGGACTTCGTTCTTAGTGTATGCTTGACACCGGATGGACGCTGGGTAATGAGCGGTTCCAAGGATCGTGGGGTGCAGTTCTGGGACCCAGCGACTGGGAATGCGCACATGATGCTACAGGGCCACAAGAATTCGGGTTAGCTTTACTATTGATGCTGGTCGACTCCGTCTATATGCTAACAGTGTTTTTTCTGTCAAAAAATAGTTATCTCTGTCGCACCCAGCCCAACTGGTAACCTATTCGCTACTGGAAGTGGAGACATGCGTGCTAGAATCTGGAGGTCAGTATTGATTTTTTTTCCTTTTTTTTGTCCGATTGCCCCATCTCGTCATCATGTTTTTTGGTTTTCGGCGCCGGCTCAACCAAAGAACCAACCCCTTTCTTTCCCGCTCTTGACATGTTTTATCTGTATATTAACTTGTGATATCAGGTTAATATACTAACCTAAAATAAACCCTCTTATATCAATAGCTATACCAATTGGGATCGAAGGGTGTAAGTTGTTTTTCATCTCGACACGCGCTTCAAAGGATTTACGCATTGCCAACCGTACACACTTTCTCACCTACGCGATATCTTGCTCAACACATAATTTACCAATTCATAAGGAAGAGAAGCATACGAACACACTATCGGACAAGGTATAGGGAGGCGAAATCAAACTATGCGAAGAAGTTAAGGGATGGAGGAAGGGATATATGCCTGGTGGAACATTTCATTGATATACACTGTTCTTCCCTCCCCTTAATTCCATTTCTACTTATTTACCTTTTATTACCTATTTGGGCATGAAAGGAAAAAAAGGAAAATTGAAATTAATACAGAGGTAGCTATCCGTTGCGGGAAAAGAGGGGGAAATCAGATCAATGGACATGAAATTATAAATTTCTTATCGGGCTTCCATTCCCTTTTTTTTCATTTTATGGTTTATGGTTTATGTAGTTTTTATGGAGTTTTTATTTTGATCTAGTTTAAGCCTGTGTCATCTTTTGACTTATTTTATATCATCATCTGCATTCTTCCAATATTCATCATCAAATTCATTATTTCACTCACTGAAAGTTGGTACTTGTTGATTCCATCTTCGGAGATTTTTGTATTTTTCTTCTTTCCTTTGTTTTTTTTTGCCTTTGTGTCTTTTCTTTCTTTCCCCATTTTCTCTTTTTAAAAAACTATACCTTTTTTATTCGGCAATCAATTACAAACCATACATAATATTTAAAAAACATTAATGAAAAAAGCTGTGAAAAACTATACTATTATAGAGTGTTAATCAGTTGTAAATAAAGTGATAATAAATTAAAGTGAGAAATGATTGTAATAGTAGTTAGTAGAGACTGATTGTTGATTTATTATTACTAGAGAGAGTCTGTTCTCTACTTAACCTTTGAAATTCTCAGCAATAGTTGTGGTCTTGTTTATCATTTAAATGATTAACACTGTATACTTAGTATTCTCTCTCTCTCTCTCTCTCTCTCTCTCTTTATATATATATAAATATATTGATACGAAGATATCAAACTCTGCATGTAATTCTGTCAGTATAAAGAAGTTGATACTATTTAGTGATGGTATCTATGCGCGCCAATCTACAGCTATAAAAAATTAATGACTCTTAGCAGGTGTGATTATCCATCCCCTTCCAAGCCCGTGAAAGGAAGCAAAACGGGAAGATGCCTTTGCTTCCATACGCTTTCCTAACAATAGATCAGACATTTGTGCCTGAAAGGTGACTGAGTCCAAGCGTGGTCGCCGCCAGATCCCAAGGCAAAGAATCTGTATAGAAGCATGGAGGAGTGGAAACATCAATACTAGATCTAGCCTCTAAACTCACACCAACTGGTTAAGGGGATTGTTAGTTAACAGGCGTGCAACATGTTTACCATATAAATTTCTAGCCTATGTAATGACTTAATTTTCCACACCTCCACACAGAGGGATTCATGATTATTGCCTATTTTTTTTTTCTTCGTTCGAGTCTAGGGCAATGCATGTTTTTGTTGATTGATCAGAAATAGTGAGCTTTGTCCATGAAAAAAAAAAAAAAAACAACGCGGATGTGCTGCGTAAGAAACAAGCACATTATAGCCCGGCCTTTGATTCGAAGATCGATAACCCCTTGATTGTAATTGGCTCAATGCAAGGCCTCTCTCTAGGCAAAAGGGAGTTCTGGTTCAAATCCCCCAGCTTATCCAAACCATCAGACAATGCACCAAAGTCTCCGATCTGCGGCATCCGTTTGACCTTTGCCCCACGTAGGCTAGGGTTAGCTCTTGGCGCACTCTTCGCCCGCTGTTTCGGTTGCGGAATGGTGCGCAGGAAGGAGCTCTATTCCAGCTGGTGTTTATCAGTCCTGGAAATGTTAGCTTCACGAAGACTTTGGGAGGGGGGGGGGGGTGCTCGGGGTCAGACGGCGTATCTCTTCAACAAACAAACAAACGGCAATCAACTCCATACGAACTCCCTACCGCTGCACATTTAACCCACATGAAACACCTCATGACATGCAGCTCCACCATAAGCAAAAAGGGATTTGAAAGTGCAGAGGACGCGGCGCTGGTATCATGTATGCCGGCCGTGCTGTGGGTCATGCCTCCTCTGCTTCTCCCGTGGGCGGAGTGGGTCGTCATTATGATCAAGTTCAGGAGGGGCTTCCCATCTGCATATTCTGCACTACTCCGTAGTTGGACGCGGTATGCATTGCGAGGTCAAGTGGCGCGCGCCACTGCATTGAAAATATCGGAAAAAGAAATGAGGCTAGCCTTAAAAGAAGCAAACACAAAAATGAGAAAAAGAAAAGACGAGGCTGGATGTGTCGCTGAATGGGTCTCGAAGAATTCGTTAGGTCCCTAATATTTCTCGTTTTTTGTTCCGCTTACGCAGTATTATCTGTCATATCCAGGTTTGAATGGAAGTAGTAATTCCCTGTTTTCTTATCCAAAGTCATAGTTCATTTCCTCCTACGGTACAGATACGTAGACAGATAGCATGGACTCCACCCCAGCCTACTGAGCTTTGCAACGGAAAAAAAAGAAAAAAGAAAAAGAAAAAAAAACCAAAGAAGATTCAAATCCATGGATATGCATGCGGAAACGGAAAGAAAAAGCAAAAGAGTGGGGAGGCCTGAAAAAAGCAAAAAGGAGAAAAAAGCAACAAAGAAGGCACGGCGGCCCAGCCAGTTGGTCATCCTGCTCCTAAAATGTGCGCATGCATGCGCTGATTGATCAATGATGATTCGATCTTGTTAGTTTTTCCCCACGATCACTGCCCGTCCCAGATGCGATTCCAAACAACCGCCGGGTACATTTCCCCTGTTCATTATTCTTGGTCCGCTTTCCGCCTCCTTTTCCTTTCTCTCCCTTCCTTCGTTGGGGATGGCTGATTAATTGCTTTTGTAGTTCTGTTGTGCTGTTGGTTCCGTGTCCGCGAGCACGCTCCCCGCCCCAGCCAAAAACCCAAGTGGAATCGGCTCGCCCCGACCACTAGCCCTGGAGATCAGTCACGCGGGCCTGCGAATAGTGCGAAACAGGTCCTTGTCATGGTATATTTTTGATTCTTTTTTTTCCCCTTTTTTTTCCCTTTCTTTTCACGGCCCGAGGGAGAGGGAGAGGGAAGGTTTCTTTCACCCAATGGATTTTCTGCTGGTATATCGGACCGATTGAAAATCAATGACGCATATACCACGATGGACTCTGTACGTACGGATATTTATATACTTCTTTGTCAGATAGAGCGGCCTCTCCACGAATAGCTCAACGGTCCCTGAGGATCACCAGGTCTCTTGAAGGCAGAAAGTGATTTTCGTTGGGCTTGTTACTTGCTTGTTAGATCCAGGAATATCCTGATATCCAACATGCTCCCCACCGTGTAGCGCTGCCAATATGGTAATTCACGTTAGAATTGCGTTAGGGAAACAACCGTTGTGCTCTAGAAACCAAGCTTTATAAAAATTGGGTGGTGGAATTAAATCACAAATACGGAGTACCAGTAGGAGGAAAACCGGAAACAAGTAGGCTCGTAGCGAAACAGTTTGCACCACGCAATCTTCTGAGAGATGGGATCGGGCCGAACCCATTCTGTGCGGGCTGGAAAAGTATGATCGTGGTTCTTGGAATTGGCCCTGACCATGGAGGTCCTGGAAGTTTGCCGCAGCTCCATAAACGTGTTAAAATCTCCAGTGTCGAAAAGTGGAACAGGCGTGTGTGTTCCAACCACAGAAAATCACCACGAGGGGTGACATGCAGGAAGTTGAAACATCCCATGGTTAAGTTTCAACTTTAGCAAAGCAAATTCTGATAACTATGTCGCGCACCAATTCGTCAGTCAGCTCGGCCATCTCGCGATGAGTCTTTGATCCAAGCTCCACTAGTTATTTTTCAGCGTTAAGCGCTACATCCCGTGTTGTGTTCTGTATAATACTGGGATTTTGGTTTCAACTAACTCCAAGCCGAATTCGGATGGGCTTGTTTGTTCATGTTGGGTTCAAAACTCCAACTCCTCAATGGCCAGTCATAGGCTAGTGGGGGCGCCACCTTGCGACCCTCCCTGCTGCCGTGCAGTGCCGATACGGTGCCTCCCCCTGAAGCCCGTCTCTGAAAGCTCGAAAGTCAGCCTACCTGTTCCTTGTACTCCGTAAGTTTTGCTGCGATTACGATCCCTGATATCTCTGAAGCTTTACTATGTAGGTCGCGGATCGCTGATCAGTTTGGCTTCTTGCCTTGACCTGCCTGAGAGCAAGCGTAGACGTGTTTGATTATGCGACACGCGGTGTGTGCGGTCTCTCACCAACCCATATATCCCTGCATCAGGGTGCCCACCGTATCATATTGGTCCATGGGCGACAGCCCCCGCTCCAGTTGGTATGTGGTTCCTTTTGGTGACGGGTATGGAATCTTTGCAGCGGCCTGGCAAGGTCACACTTCAAGCTTGGCCACGACGGAATCTCTGCGATCTGCCGCGATTGGTGCACCGCCTCGTGCGGCCGGCTTCGGACTTCTCTGGCACGATTAGTCGCCAGAGCGATCAAGCCAGCTGTGGATAGATCGAGAAATAATAAACATTACTAGCGAGTGGGCCCTGCTCCAACACTTGCGGTGCGTTTGTACGCGTTCTATCAATTTTCATCCACTGCCACCGACTTACAACAGTGTACTATTCAAACTTCGGGGAAAGCCATATTTTCTTACACCCTCTCCAGCATCACAGCAATCAACCAAGAGCGAGCGAAATAGAGTGACAAATCAACTCCAATCATTTCCTCAAAGGTCGGGTTGGTTCAACTTAATAATACCCACGCCTTGGCAAATGCAAATCCTGATACGGAGTACTTCTGTACTGTGCATTGAGTCGGTAGCCAGCCAACGGCCGTTCTGGATCGGGATCTTCAAATCGACGAAAGCCCAAAGATGACAGGCTGCTTTCTAGGATGGGCGGCACAAACCAAGAACTCCCGGTTAGAACTTCCCATGGCTGAGTCAGGGAAGAAACAAGTTGTATTCATTAATTATTTGTTACCGAACACTCAGACTCTCGAACATTATCATCATACCATTCCCATTAGTTAGCTGTCGCGATAGTTACGATCCAGATCAAAACCCAACTGCTGGCCCTCCTCCCTGGCCATTATTCTTGTCCGGGTTCCTGGCAGTCTTTTGCCCAGATCCACCCGGCTCCACTGAGGCACCTGGTGATGTTCGTTATTGGGCGTTTTCTGCTCACATCCGGGCCTTATTTTTACGGCTGGTCCCCCAAACTTTGACGCTAGGCTAACTGCTCAGGTTGGAATATTTTAGTGTTTGCTAATCTCAAGCCCTGAACAATTTCGGGGGCTTGGGAACTCGGGGGCTTGGGGACGCGGGCAACTAGCCCACCACCCTCCCACCTTTTTCCTTGTCAGGGATATCCGAGCTAGCTCGCACCGCCTACTGGATTTTCTCCCACGCTCCTCGCATTTGAACACTTCGAATCCGATTCTGCAGCTGCTCATGCGATGGAGGTAAAGGGACATCTTTAATTTTTATTTATTTAATTTTTATTTTCGCTGGTCACCACAATTAGAGCGCCAACCTTTTCCTGCATTACTTCTCTTGGCCTATTATTCTCGATTTCCTATTTGACGACTGCCAACTATCCAGTTTCCTGTATTTTGGTATATCACTCGATAACTTCGTGCACCCTTGGACCCTAGCAGAAACACACTGTGGTCTGACTCCCCCTTGTGTATGTTAACAAATAACCCCC